AAAAGCTTTTTTTTTTTTTTTTTAAGTTATACTCATCTGAAAAATTAACTATTTAGAACTAACCTAGTAATCGACCTTCTGCTACCTGGCCTTATCAGTTCAGCAGTGACCTCTTATGCAGAGGTGATTAATCTTGTTTTCATCCATGGGTTCCTCAGTTTTCAAGTGGAGGTGGAGACTTCTTGCTACTGACTGGACAAGCATGAGCAGCTTTATTTTAAAATAACCCTTCATATACCCACTCGACATGGTCTCTAGAGCACTCAGGGTTCACAGGTGACAAGTTGAAAACCACTGCTTTAAGGTATGATATTTGCATCATATCTGTATTGCTGGCAATATGTAGTTAAATTAAACTCACCAAGTTCACTATTTATATTCCCAGTTTCATCCATGTAGCATAATTTCCCTGGAAATACCTATGTAAATTGTCATCTGCTGCCTATTGTTTATATAATGCATTTCTTTATGTATAACAATCTCCTGCATTACCTTATTTGTTCTCCTCTATCTTCTGACATGCTTATTTCAATTAGTACAGAATAATGTAATTATAACACTGTTGTTATAATCACACAAGGAGATACCTGACAAATACTTCAAAATGGCTCAGATCTTTATTTTACTAATTGCTGCAGTAAGTTTGTGCATATCATTGACTGCATTATACCTGAAATTCTTGAGTGAAAGCAATTGAATCACATGAAACAGTTACATAAAATGATCAAATTAAAAAAAAAGCCATTTTTGATATCTAATTTCTTTATGTTTGCTAACCAGGCACTTTATGTTTAAACCTTTACCTGTAAGTGGGAATTCTATACTGTAATCTGTAGATACCTCTAGATACCTGCGTGGAGGTAGCAAAACTTAAGTAAAAATTGGTGCATAAATAAGCTTGTGGGAAGTGAGGTGAAGATCCTTGCCATGGGAAGCTGACTGTATGGAGAGGCTATTTTGGCTGGTCACCATGTTAAACTCTATTATTATAGTTTGCTGACAATACCAGTAACCGAAGGCATCAATCTACAGGCACAGTTATTCATAGCAAAAGACAGTGGAAACAAACTGCTTTGCTTACAGTATTCACAGCACTGAAGTATGCCAACAGCAGACAGAACAAATGTCAACAGGCTGCTGAGCTCTTCAAAATCTCTAACAAGTTATTCAGAGCACAAACACACCTTCAGGAAGCCTTGGAAAAAAACAGAGCAGATTCCGATACAGCCGCTTTCTCTAAATTCTGCAGTGAGGGCACTTCTGAAAATCTGTTTCCTTTTAAATTACAAAAACATTTCTATCAAAGTTAGGTCTGTCAAATGCAATTGTACCTTTGGGTCAATCTTTGACCCACATGCACATTTAACCTATTTGGAGTTTCAGACTTAGATTTCAGACCTCAGTGACTTAGGCGCTAACCTTGGGTATCTGCCATTCATGTAAGCTCAGCATTTGCCTTGTACGACATTGAACTCTCTTTGTGAGAAGCAAGTCCATGTTTTAAATCAACACAAAACATCCAAACAATAGCAGCATGCATTCAATATGGTATTTATTAGACAGAAAAGAAAAGCAGATGAAGTAAAGCTTTTCATCTTTCTCATTTGAAGGTGTAGCTTGAAAAACTCCAGTATCATCATCCAATATTATCATCGAGAAGTTAAGATATAAAAGTCAGGAACTGGCACAATATGTTCTTTGCCAGTTAAATACTGCACATTATTTTAGCAAACATTTCTGCTAGCAGCTGTTAACTTCAGGCAATAGAAATGTCTGTTTGCAGAGGAGTAAAGAGCAGCTAGGGAATCTGTTTATTCACTCTCATAAAAGCTTTTCTTCGCTGATATGCAGAGTTGCTATTTCAGAACGAGTTATAACACAAAGTTGTTTTAAGTGGTACTTTTGCTGGTCGAGTTTAATTTTATTTCTGAAAACACTGTTAACAGCAGGAAATTATTAGTAGAGTTATAAATGACACAAAATTAGTATACTATTGGCTTAAAGCTATGTTTAACTTCTTTAGTTTCCAGAGGAAAAAAGGACCTTTACAAGCTCTTTTCTTTGAGGCTATATTTTTAAAATTCAGTGACATACGGAGTAGGAATACTCAGTTCAAAGGAGGAAACAAAACAAGACAGAAAACACAGACTGGTTTATGTTTTTATGACTCAGTTAGTTACTACAAGCAATGCTCCTGAAGGAAACTATCCCGACATTTCCTTCAATGTGGCACTAGTATTTTATGACTTCCTACAAGTCCTTTGTGATCTTGGCCCTTTCTGTCCATAGCTCTTATGAGGATATGTCTCGATATTGGACTTATCGGCCTGCATTTCTGCTTCCAGAAAGGACTCCCTTTTAGTGTCAACCCCAGCGCGCTGTCTTTGCCAAGGACACTCTCCTGGCTGCCTGTCTGGAAACATCACCTCAGTGCAAAACGGCCTGGACGATGGATTCATTGTGGCTCACCTCTAAAGCCCCGAAGGCCCCATTACAGGGTGGTAACCAGACGTGCGGACGTGAAATTTTGATTGCTGAATCCCCGGCCTACAGACATTTGTGGCAGAACTCAGAGGAAGATTCGGGAAAAAGAAATAAAGATGCAAAGGAAGAAATCAGCTGAGGACTAGAGGAGATAATGAACCCAAAGGAGGTATAATACCACACCCGGAATGAAGCACCAAGAGCCCTCTGCCATTAAATGTTTTGAAAAAAAAAAAAAAAAAACTGAAAGAGCACAAGCTCTCATTATGGAGAGCTCAATTATGGAGAGCTCTCATATTTCGTCCTGTATGTAGCCAGAAAAACTACAGAAAATGAAAATGATTAATAAAAAAAGAGAATAAACAGAAGAATCCTCTCTGGATCTAAGAGAACTGGAAGAAGCCAAGAGGAAAGAGGAAAGTTCACCAAGTAAAATTATCATATTTTTCTATCGTTCTTCATAATAAGAGTGTAAAAATTGTTTCTTTTTTTTTTCTTGCTGTGTACGGTGCTTAGATATAAATCATCTATGGGCTCATGACTAGACTTCAATGAAACTAATGACATGAAAGTCTGTAGACTTGGGATGAGAAAACATTTTTCAAAAAATACTCTGGTAAAAGGAATTTTTTTTTCTATTATGATATTATAATATTTTAATCTTTTTGCGTTTTTACACTTTGGGAATGTATACAATTGTCACTAGGTGGAAGAATCATGAGTCATTCAGCTTCCAAGCGATCTCCCTAAAGAACAGTCTCAAATGCAGATGTTTCAGAATTCCCAAACTGCTTGCTGGAGTTGAATGAACTGTTTCTTTAAATAGATGTGTCACTTTGCTGGCTAGCTCATTTAATTACTGTAAATGTCAGCACTCTTAACAGAACGATCATCATCACAAGCTACGATTTCTGCATTTGATGTGAGTGTAGGAAAAAAACACAACTTGGTTGCCACCAAGTTTGGGGAAGATCCAAGTTCAGGATATTCATACTCAAAGTCATCAGTTCCCAGGGTTTCACTTCAGATATATTCTACCCTATTAAGGGAGGAAAAGAATATAGAGTTTTCAGTTACCAAATATATATCCTTTCATGCTATTAGAAATCTTTCAGATTTCAAAAACAAAATTGCAGAGCAGGGATGGTTATTAACTCTTGCAAAAAGATAGCTTAAGAGGAAAGACTCAACTTCTATTGCTGACCATAAATGCTAAAAAGTTAACTGAATTGCCTGTGGAAAAGAGAATAAAAAAAAATATTTTCATTGAATTTTCTTCTCATTTTCCCTTTCATTTTCCTTGCTTGAGCAGGGGATTTGAGCTAGATGATCTATAGAGGTCCCTTCCAACCTCTGCCATTCTGTGATTCTATGATTGAACTGCGCTAAGCTATGCACATTCTACATGAAACTACTATCAAAAAACAGTAAAAGAAAATATAAAATTACTTTTGCCATGCTTATTTTGAAATCAGTAAGTGCCATAGGACTAGTAGTGTGTGCAAGGGAGCTGCTAAAACAACCAGGGATCATTTCACTTCTTCGTTGCTTTGTTGTTGTCATCTCTGCAATGATGCCAGAGAATCCGATGGAAAAATTGCTACAGGTTTCAAATAGAATGAATAAATCTCTTTGTGCTATACCTAAGAAATTTATGTTGAAATTTTGTAATTTATAAGTTTATCTTCTAAAATACACACACACACAAATCTATTTATCTCGTCTGGATCTAATCCTTCATATCTTACTCAGGCAAAGTTAAAAAGAAAACATTTTTGCCTAAAGAAGGCACTATGGCATATACAAGACTATGGCGTATAGAAGTAAGAATAGAATCATTAAAACTGCACTGATTCTTCTGAATTCAGTTTTTCTACTTTGTTTACATCAGATAAATCTCAGTGAAAAGGGACATTTTTGCTCAGTTGTTACATGATTAAAGAAAAGGAGCTGCCAATAAATAAAAACAGCTTATGCTTTCCAAAGGGTGCCAGGCATTTTATGTAAGTTGGAAACACAGGTCTGCATTGACCATTCCGCAGAAATTCACTACATGCGTGTAAGTATCGTTACTCCTGGATTTATTCAGGAGTTTATATAGCATTTATACAGCTACTCCTTAACTCCTTATCTCAATACTCCTGAGCGGGACAGTCACGAGGCCCTGACAATGATTTATCCAGGAGGTTTCCGCCATCTAGTGGAAAGTGTGTGAGTGCCAGGAACACATCCCTGAATAGCTAAAGACCTTTGTTTCAAGGCTACGTATGAAACTGTTGAATCTAAACCTTTAGGAAAATATATATATATATATATATATATATATATATTCACTTCCAAAGGGAACAGGTAAAGGGAGGTAAACGGTACCTCTGAGGGCAGGGGAGAACATGGCGGCCGGCCCGGCGCCTTCCCCGCACTACATTTCCCAGAAACCCCCTGGGTGGGGGGCGGCCAGGCCTCTCCCTTTCCCTCCTGCGCGGGGTCTGCTGGGGGTTGTAGTAGGAGCGGCGGCAGGAAGATGGCGGCGAAGATCCGGGTGCCGCTGCGGCCCGTGAAGAGTATCCTGGTCCGCTTCTGCCCCTTCGAGCCCAACGTGGAGAGCACGAGGTGAGGGGCTGCTGCCTCCGGATCCGCCGACTCGCTGTTGGGGGGAGCCGGGGAGGCGGCCTGGGGCGGCCGCCATTTGCCCTCGGGCCTAGGGGCTCCCTCAACAGGTGCGGTCAGAGAGCCCCTCCTGTGTCCCATCCTTGTAGGGTTTGGGGTTTGTGCCCTTATTTTTCATCCGGGGGTGAGGTTATGCCAAATGGCACCCATTTAAGAGTTAGGCTGTATGTTCAAGCTCGAATTTAGGACCCTGATGGGGCCTGTGACCCTGCACGGAGCCCTGAGTAGAAAGGCAAGAGCAGAGGGAGCAAATATGTAAGAAAATATCTTTTAATTATTTTAATTTATTTTATTGGTCATTGTTCAAAGAAGAACTACCCTCTAATAAGTTGCTACATCTGTTGTATGCTTTATGTAATTTTTACGATCTTAGTCTTTGAGGCCTGGCTTTATAGTTTGGTTTAGGGCAGACACAACCGTAATATTTTATTAGCCAGTGAGAAGTCACTGTATTTGTCTTAAGGGCTGTGCTCATATGGAGCATTGTCAGGAAGTTTTAAGTCAGCTTTAGTTTTAAGCAGATTTGTGGAGGATCTCCATGTCTGAGTATAGACTCTTGCATGTAAATGCGTGTGTTTGACTCTTCCCATCTACTTACAGAGATGCTGCTCTCTCAGCTCCTCAGGATTTAGGTGTGGGACTAAAGTTATTAGCCCAAGTGCTTGTAATGGGAGAGAAAGGAGGAAACAGCTGATGCTGTCTTGGTAATTGACTGCTCAAGAGGTCCAAGTGCTTCTCAAGTGATGCAACTTCTGCCAGGTCTGCATGGAACAAGTATAAAATGTCACTTTCCATAGACTTGCCCACACTCTTGCTGTTGAAATATTCTTATTAACACAGCTCAACCTAGAATGTCTTTAAGTCAACTGAATGTCAAGCAGGTTTCGCACCTGTGAGAAACCTGTGAGAAACAGATACTGCTTAAATAACTACATGCAGTCTGAATCCAAACAGTAAAACAGTATAAAAGTATCTGAAAAAGTGTAAAGAAAAATGAGAATGGTTTTGCTGATGCTTCTTTTCTCATATTATTAACCCAGTTGAGGGCAATGCAGAGAGTGCATACACTGGATTTTGAAAAATTCTTTGGTATGTTTTTTTCATATTAGCTCGAAATATTCTTTAAATGTTTATATTGATTATCTTATAAGAAGTACGTGTCTGACATTATTTATACTTTGATCAGCTATCAATATCAAGCAATTGAAATTAATTACAGAAATATCTATAATTACTACATTTCAAATGTATTTTCAGAATATTTCTTCAACGAATATATCATAAAAACATCTATGACACCAACAGGAACTGTGAAGTGACTACTGATGTGAGACATGATGGATCTGAGCCACTTGTAGATGTTACGTTTGGTAAGGATTTCATTTTTAATCTATGCAGGAAGTCCTTCCAGATTTGGGCTGTTATGGTTCTGTTAATATATTTATTTATTGTGGTTGCTTTGTTTTGATTCCAGTTCACAGCTATATGTTGTACAGTTTAGAAGAAAAAAGGAAGAGGAAATTATTAACAGGCTAGTGTATAGATAAATGTGTGTGTGTGTGTGTGTGTGTATATATATATATATACATACATACTATAATTAGAAATGCTGGATCTTAGATCAAAAAGCTGTCTTAATTTTAGGTTAGAGGCCACATTTGAAGTGACGTAGTTGTGAGCCCTTGAAGCTCAGGTGGAATTCCTGTGACGGTAGCTTTGTTTGGATGTAAGTTGTATTCTCATGCTGTCCCTCTCGTTGTGGCAGAGGCACCTCAGTCTCGAGACCAGAAAGTGGACTGCTCTAGGTGCTTGTGCATCTGCAGAACTTGCTGTTTATTTACTGAGTGTGAAGGAAGAGCTCTCAGGGACACTTCTCATGCACGTAGAAGGACTTACAGAATGAGCTCAGCTGATCTATGACAGAAATTTCTTGGTTTCCTCAAAAAGCTTAGTGAATATGTATTGGACCATGTGGTCTTCAGAGGTCCCTCCAGCCTTGGTCGTTCTGTGGTTCTGTGCATAGGTTGGGAAGTGATGGCGAATATTCCGTCAGTTCTGGAAACAGCCCAAAGTTGGGGCTTTGGACAGATGGCTCTAATCTGCTTTTGTCCTTCTCCCTGGCTGCATTTTTCCTGCTGTGCTTTAATAGTCCAATAGGGCATGTGGCTCGTTAAAGTTTTTATTATTATTGATCCTTTTCTTGGACTTGCATGTATTTAGTGAATAAGTAGGAATGTCTAGAGCGTTGAAATATTTGTCCTTACAGTGTTGACTGTGCTTCCTTGTCCTTCTCCCATGCCTCTGCCTTTCCTATCCTTCTCTCTAACTGTGATGTACTAAGACCTAGGCAGTAAAGCTTAATGTTTTTCACAGTATAAAACGAAAAGAATTTATTTCACTGATGCCAAGAGCTACAGCTCTGAACTCTTTGCTTTCCAAGAGCTGATTATTTTCCAAGTGATGAGTTTACAGCCCTTGTAGTTGACAGACACAGGCCTGGAACTTGGATTCTGTGCATGGTGTTGCATTATAGAGGTTTGAATATGTGGCTTTTATATTTGCAAGTGTATCAAAAAGTTAATTTGGGTGCTATACCTCTAATGCTCCTTCCCTGTTTTAAAGCTTTTTGTTTGTTTGTTTTGTTTTTTTTGAGAAAATTAAAAATTCCTTTGCTTTCTTTTTTTAAATTACAACTACCAAATTGTATCAACCAATTTACTGTTTTCACTAAAGAAAAAA